GAAAAGTGCAGTGTCGAAAGTGTGAAAATTCATCGCTGTATATACGGTAGCATTGTAGCGGGCAGCCATCATGACCGGTCTGGCGTCATTGTTTAAGACCTCTCTGCCTCAGGTGCTGTCCAGTTCGTGTGTCTTGCATTTGCCGAGGGGTAGCCGGTGAGTAGCGATTAGTTGTGGACGCGATCAACTGTCATATGACTGATTATCGCATAACTACGGATAACAGCAAAATGCCACAAATGTGCATACTTATTGGGCTAAGGAGGGAACGGAACCGCTGGCTACCGGTATATATTCAAAAACGTAACTATGAAGGGTATGGGCATTCGGAAGCAATCGAAATCCTTAACACAGGTTAACAATGATCTAGCTCGACTGGCGAGTGATGGTGTCAAGAGTTTTCCCCATAAGAACGCTACTCTATGAATTTGTCGTGACCAGGCGGTGTGTGTGCTGACGGTGTGCTACCATTATCGGGTCAGCTCCCAAGTTGAGGAGGGAAGACAAAAGGCACCAGAATGAGGGGTTTATTCTACACCGCGCCCGGAGTTGTCCTCTCAGGCGACAGTGGCCATTGGCGAAGCCAGGGCTGGTGTTGACTGCGTCCAGTCATGCCTGAGAGTCCCTGAGACAGTGATGGCAGCTGCTTTTGTAGGCTCGTGGGCCAAGCTCAAGTGGTCTCCAGTCAGCGTGCGTGTTGCATTTGCCGAGGGGTGGTGTCCCAGCGGCTTATTCCGCTGGTTGCAGGGGGTGGCGCGTTCAAGTGGCAGCATCGGCAGCTGCGACTCTGTGCGGACGCAGGTATGCCCGAGCTGTCCGTTGTGGTGTGACTTCAGGTCAGCGCGTCTGGAACGGCTCACTGCAAAGGGGCGAATGACCTTGAGGCTGCTAAGTCTGAACCAAGGACTTCAGACCGGTCATGATGGCTGCCCGCTACACTTGCTTCTCAAGTCCACCCCCCTATAGACTACTTCACGCGCAAGTCACCTGTGTTGCGGCCACCGAGCACGCAACGCTCGAACTGTCATATCCTACAGGCGTAACTTTTTTTTTCTCGAGAGTACTTTTATATGTTTGTGATTATTTCTCAAACCGTTCCTACATCTTCTCACTTACGCGGATGGTCTCGAGTGCATGCTTCTGGGTCACTGGTTGCCCTAGCGCAGGGCCTACCAAACGGTGTGCCGAGGGGAGGATTCAATATCACGAAGCCCTCTAGAGGGCATATGGTTGGGTTTGCTAACCGTATGATCACCGCCTCTGCCGCCGAGAGCATCGGAATGCCGCACCGGCAACGGAAATGACGTCTGTCGGGTGGCCAGGGCGCTAGTGATGGACTCTCTCATGCCAGGACGGTCACCTGGTCGTTCAACCAAACTTGTCGGTTGTCATTCATAAAGAAAGTCACTTCGCCGAGCAGCGGTTGTGCCGTTGAGACAGTTCTCCGGGACGCCTTCCCCCCCCCCCCTTCGACAAGTCCACAAAAAATTGACCGTTTCATTCTTCCGGAGCGCGCCTCATTTCCCAACTCACGTGCGGGTTACATTCGCTGACCTGGCTTCAACCTCATAGCGAATGCGAACTGTCCGTTTGACCTTGGAGGTCTGGGTCAGATCGCTGAGCGTCACTCCCACGTGGCTCTGGATCGCTCCGGTCGTGTGAACCTGCAACTCACTTGGCCGGTCCTCGTCCTCAATGGCCAGCTCAGAATCCCTTTCAGGCCTCAGTTTTTATATGCGTAATGACAGTGACCTTCTGATTACTTCTGATTTCTTTCCGCCGACTCGGATCCTCCGCACTGCCGTCCCTTGCATCCCGGCAAACTGACTCTTTGACCTTTTAAGACTGATGTTTGGCGTCTGCGTTTCCCAACAAATGACCTTCCTGATTTAACCCAAGTACACTTTCGGCCACATTACATATGGCAGCTTGATCGTCGGGACCGACAATGTCCACCGTGTGCACCACAGCTGGGTGAGGACGGCGACGTGCACGTGATGTAACAGACTTGCGCAGCATCTACTGCACTCACTCATCCTCCCTCACCTGGATCCGGTGTCAAGACAGAGTCAAGGACAGGAGAGGGTTCAGGTGACTGGCAAGACGTAAACTTCCACCAAATCCCTGGCCAGGATTCTATACACTAAGAAAAAAAGGAGGACGGCTCAGATCCTAGTTGTCACGGCGTGAGCCTACAACTGGGCCTGTCACTACAGCTGCCGTGTTGGTCCAACGCATCCGGCCGCGTGTCCTGTTTTTGGGGCAGATCAGGCCCTTGCTTTCGCAGTGGTTACACGCACTCCCACCGCCAGACGAACATTTCTGCCTACTTCTCCTCACAGTCCTTCCAAATGCAATTTTTTTTTAATTCTTGCTGAGTACAGCCAACGCCCTAACTCTACCTTGGGCGTCACTGGTGCGCTATGTTATCTCACACTTTGCCGCGTCGTAACCACTTGATGGGGGAGGGGGGGGGGGTCAGTAAGCTGTTTTGGTCTGTAGTGTATACTCATTGTGGACATTGCAAGTAAAGTAAGCCGAAGGCGGATGCTGAAATCGTTAGTGGGAAAAGTAGCCGAAATTAAAACGGAAGGGTGCAATCTGATGTTTCGGATGAGAGTTAGGGTCTGGGTTAGTGTTGTCGTGACCAAGCGGCGAAAGTAAGTGCTCTGAGTGCTACAACCACCAGGTCGAATCCAAAGTTGTAAGGAGAAGACAAAAGGCACCAGAATGAGGGGTTTATTCTACACCGCGCCCGGAGTTGTCCTCTCAGGCGGCAGTGTGGCCACCGGCGAAGCCAGGGCTGGTGTTGACTGCGTCCAGTCATGCCTGAGAGTCTTTAGGACAGTGATGGCAGCCGTTTTTGTAGGCTTGTGGACCAAGCTCAAGTGGTGGCCAGTCAGCGTGTGTTGCATTTGCCGAGGGGTGGTGTCCCAGTGGCTTAGGTTGTGGTTGCAGGGGGTGGCGCGTTCAAGAGGCAGCATGGGCAGCTGCGACTGTGCGGACGCAGGTATGCCCGAGCTGTCCGTTGTGGTGTGACTTCAGGTCCGCTCGTCTGGAACGGCCCACGGCAAAGGGGCGGATGACCTTGAGGCAGCGAGGTCTTCAACAATGACACCAGACCGGTCATGATGGCTGCCCGCTATACAAGTCTTGTCCTGTTTGGTGTAGTTGACAAACTCATTCTGCTCGCCATTGTCACAAACTTTTACTCAAATCGGTCAAGGCGGCCTCGCTGTTATGCCGCCTGACCGACTACAGGGAATCCCGGCGGACAGACTGAAATACAGAGGTAAAGTGTGGATCGCTCTTTCTCCGGGTTAGTGTCAAGTTTAAGCTCTCCGGTTAGAGTTGGGGTTTGGATTATGGTTTGGGTTTGCGTTTAGTGTTAAGGTTGGCGTTAGCGTTCATGTTAGGATTAGGTTAGGGTTAGGGCTAAGGCTGGGGTTTGGCTTCAGTTTAAGTTTAGGCTTAGGGTTAGGGCTAAGGTTTGTGGTATGTTACCGTTAAGTTTACAATAACGTCAAGGATTAGGTGTAGTTTTGAGGTTACGGTGGGTTTACCTTTAGATTTGGGGCATTGCTGTCTCACGTTTCCTGTCTGTCAGGTCTTTTGCGGGGATTCGCGGCAGATTTGTCAAACATCAGGTTGCCCATTCCGTTTTACTCTTGGCAACATGTCCCCACTAAACAATTTCAGCATCCCCTTCGGCCTACTTTACTTTCAATACCCACATCGTGCTTACACTCGGGACCAGGACATCGTAACCCATACTTGCCGTCGTCCACTTTTTAGCAGTTGTGCTTTTACCTCTCCGTGTGGTTGCTTATCCACTTTCTTTTCTCCAAATTATCGACCGTAAGTTCATTTTTTCACTGCCCTCCTGGCTGGCTCCTGTGATGAAGTTTTGTGATCGCGCACGCTAGCGCCTCCGCGTTGGAGAGGCTTCGCGATCTGAACTCTGGCAGACTGACGTCCCCCCCGCCACCTCTAGCGAACTTTTTCCTGCACTCTGTCTGCGCACACACGACATGCGCGTGCGTCTCTGCGGCCCGTTTGCACTATTCCAGGATGTTGTTGTGTTGCGGCGCAGCATCGACATCGTGCGTAGATTTTATTGTTGTTGCGGCCATTTAAGAACCCACCTGGAGGAGGCCTCCTGGCACCATGAGTTTTCTTCTATGTGTGGCAGTTGCATCAGGCTTAGTGTCTCAGGCCGTCGGTTGAGCACTTTGTCCTTTGTCCCCTCCCCCTTCCTCCTTCCTCTCTCCCCCTCATCCTCCCCCACTCTCCCTGCCCCTTCTCCCCCCCATCTCGTTTTCCCCCTCTATCCTCTCCTCCTTCTCTTCC